AGCCTGATCAAACGGCAGTTGTAATTTCCCTCAGGAGAAGAAGATTTAGTGACAGGTGCTGATTATGTCAGGGGGATTAAACCCGGATAGGCACGCCAGATTGGAAAATTATGTCTCATTTTCCCTCCTCCCTTCTGAGATTAAAGGCACTTGTGCAGCCAAGCTTTCTCCTCCAGACAGTCTTATGCAAATATACCAACAGGAATTTTCTTTATTACATTAGCATATAGTAATATGGTCATAAATATTAGCAACTTGGCTTGAAAAATCACTTTGTTCCAGGAGTGAAATAGTAATGTCTATTAACATAGTTATTGTAATTTGTCCAGGTTACATACTAGTATATCTGTCACCATGAAAAAAACATTTTTTTAAAGAGATCTCCAATGATGCACTCCTATAGCATCATTAACTGTGCATACATGTATCTTAGGCCACAGCAAGTAAATTTTATGGATGACATCCTCCGCAGACTTCAAATCAAATACAATAGAGAAAAAAAAACCAAGACGGGCCAAAAAAGCCAGATTCCTACATTTTCAAACTTTGACATCATAAACATTGTTAAAGACGAAATAATACCAATATTGTGCTACATGTAAGTTCTCCATATCTCACTGAAACAACTTTGAAAAATAAAACTTTTCAATCATTGCACAAATGGTTTTGATACAGTGGGGACATCATATATTATACACAGCCACCATCACAATATTATAAAAGGAATGAAATACATTACTGCATCAAAGTAAGAGACAAAACATTAAATCAGAGCCTTGTCTTGTCTCCTCTCTTCATATTTATCTACCATCCACATTCTGGCATGGCAAATACAGAGTCTGACATCTTTGCCCATTTTTGACATGTTGACCACTGTCAGAGGGCAACAAATTTTCTTTTTTTTTACCCCCAAATCAGGTGAAAATTAATGCGCACACTCTTGTCATTTATAAAATTTACTTGCTGTGGCCTTATAATGCTATAGCACCCTATATATTATACATAGGGTGAGGTAGCAGAGATAGCTCAAACAAAGTTTGTTTTCCAAAGTAGGAGATAATGTACATTGTAACCTGGTGGATGGATCTTACTGAAGGGTATGCATGTAGTACTAGACAATAAGTACTACCCTGGTTTGTAAAGAAAAATTATCGTGATGCTACTTCGGTAAAAAAAATGTGCAGCAAATTGAAAAGAAAATTATTTCGTCTCGGAATCCTTTCATGATCGGTGTAGTCATGCATCTTTTTCATGTTCCAGATTCCAGAGAGTTGATAGCGCAGATGAAAGGCCACGACGCTGGCGTGCACACCATTTCTCTCCATGCCTCCGGGCGTTACGCAATCTCCTCGTCTAGCGATACGGCCCAGCTCTGGGATCTCGACACCTTCCAGAGGAGACGCAAGCTGAATATCAAACAGTCGGTTGGAATTGTGAAGGTAATGACTTATTAGTCCCTGGACACTTTCCCTAGCATACTGTATACTGTGCAATATACTTTAAGATTGCTTTCCTTAGGCCACGCCAATTTAATTTGTTGGTTCTCGCATTCGCCTCTTCATTTTTTTCTGATTTGCAAAAAAAAAATTCTGGTTCTGAATCAACAAAAAAATGCTCATATTTTACCCTGTTGCTTCAAATTTTTTCTAAAAAAAATCCGAGAACCAACAAATTAAATTGGTGTGGCCTAATGACTTATTAGTCCCTGAACACTCTTCCCCTAGCTACACTGTACAATATAAGTCCTCATCAGTATACTTGAAGATTGCTCTCCTTAACTTCGATATTGGCGAATTTTGTGATTCAATTGTCCTTGATTTTCAACCCTGGAAAGCAAAATGGTGCTTTTGTTTACTTCTTCTAGATGCTATATACGCATGTTTTAGGTGATCCTCTCTCCTTGTAACAACAGAGTATAATTTTGTTAATGTTTTTTATGTTCACAACAGTTTTATTAAGAAAATCAGCCTCGCAGCATTCTGCATCTGCAAGTGCATCTTGCGTCCTTATAATCTTCTGCTCTGGTTAATAACTAGTGAAATTGCCTTTTGGTACAGTGAGTGAGCAGCTAGTAAAATATTGTTTCCCAAAAGAATAAACTGGAAATACACAGTTGATCAAATCTACATCGCAGCATGCACTATGCGGCATAGATAAGGGTGGGAGAGAAAATGCAATAATTCTATATTTGGACTGTCAGATCTCCTGTAACCTTGAGATATGATCCATATCCATTCACCTTGAATATTGGACTTTGTGAGTTAACTTAAGGCCACAGCAAGTAAAAATACAAGGCGGGCCCAAAAAAACAAGATTCATAAAATTGTGTTAAAAAAGAAATGATACTGTACCTATATTGTGCTAAGTTTACTGCCAGCTATTACAACATTCATTTCTCACTCACTGAAACAACTTTTTCAACAAAGTTTTCTATCGTTGTACAAATAATTTGATTCAGTGGGAACATTACATACACACAGCCACAATCACATATAAATGAAAGACATCACTGGACACTGTATTTAAGTAAAAGACAAAACATTAAATCAGAGCCTTGCCTTGTCTCCTCTCTTCATATTTATCTGTCATCCACGTTCCGGCATGGCTACGAACACCTCAGGCCCATTTTCAGCATGTTAACCTCTGTCAGAGGGCAACAAAATTTCTTTTTTTTCCCCAAAATCAGGCAAAAATTAATGCATGCATTGATGTCATCCATGAAAATTACTTGCTGTGGCCTAACCCTCCTTCTACATGTACTGATCCCTGCTATAGCCAATATTAATAGGTTACTTTGCCAAATGGATAGGTTAAAGCCAATTCTCTACTACGACTCTAGGTCTTTTTTTGCTGGAACTTTAATTTTTCCTGACAGTTACGTGGATAGTCAAGACATCATTGATCCTCTGCCTACCGGTTATAAACTTTTACGTGCTCAACAGTATTAAGGTTAGATCAAGTCATCCGTGAATGTCAAAAGTTAGTATCCTGTATATCACCATATATACAGGCTGACTTGTACTGATGGAGGTAGCCTTTACAGGATGTATTGCACTGTCTCCCAAAATAATTGATTTTTAGAAATCACAAAATTTCTACATTAATCTTTTGATATTAGCCATCACCAACAGTAATTTACCACGGTATCTTTACATAACTCCATTTTCTTTCATGTACAAGACTTTGAAGCTGGTGAACTTTTCATCTTGTTGTGTGTCAGACATGCACATCTATTCCCGGTAACATACAGTAATCACTTTTAATAAAAGTGCTCTCGTTACCACTCACAATATGAGGCCTGATTACTTCCTGCCTGCTACAAGTGTTTCAAAGGGAACTGCAGACACTATAAGCCCTGAATGTTGATGAACGACTAATAGCGTTTAGAGTGGATATTGATCCAACCATCATGTTCTGTGTTGGAGTTGCAGGATTTCTAGCTGCCACACCAATTTAATTTGTTGGTTCTCGGATTTTTTCAGAAAAAAATTTGAAGTGACAGGGCAAAAAAAAGATAAAGATAAAACCAGGTCTAGATCCTCTGATAGCCCCAAATGCTACTGTAGGAGTCATGAAGTCAACACTAAAGGCAGGGTTAATATTCAAACAATGAATTTTGAACTTTTAACCAAACCACTGCATTTATAGATAAAAACTGTAACAACTACCGGCAGGACTTTCCTCAATTGTTGGGGGCAAAATATTAGCATTTTTTAGTTGATTCAGAATCTTTTTTTTTTTTTAAATCAGAAAAAAATGAAGAGGCGAATCCGAGAATCAACAAATTAAATTGGTGTGGCCCTAGTTTAGCCTGCCTATAGTGAGTTGTTTCCTCCAGTGGTTCAGAAAAGTGTCATATTCGGTGACCTTACTGCTGTGTAAGAAGTAATAAATCATACCCGGCGTCCCTCCGTGTGTTTTATCATGTCAGACAGTATGGGAAGAGGGACTGCGGGAGCTGCAGGCCTTAAATGTCAAATGTTCAACACTTTTTACGGCAGTGCTATGTAGAATAGTTGTGCTGTTGAGGAGGTCGTTACAGGCTCAGTACACCATGTTTCCCATGACACTGAAGTAGTTACAGTAGAATGTGCAATGCAGTGCAATTATGCTGCCAATTTTACACATTTTTTTTGAGTGTCACGGTAAAAACTTTTACCACCAAGAAGATACCTGTATGCAAACCATTATAGTACTGGTAGTTTTGATTTATACTTTTACATATTTAGTGTACAATCAACTGTATGAAAAGAAAATGAAGTTCAAAATTAGAATTTATTTTATTTTTGCATAAGGCAAATTGATACACATTTCTTGATACATTCTTGTTAGCAATAGAGGCAGTTTGGATAGAAAATTAATGATGATGAAGAGAATTGCAAAACAGGCAACCTGACAATTTACTTTAATAAGAATCGGTAAACTGTGTGTCAAATTTAGCAGAGTCACGAGGTACATGTATGTATAAGTACGGTATACCCTTTCAATCATAAACTGTGCAGTAGAGCTTGGTGCCAAGCACTTATCTGTTGAACTGATTATTATGCAGACAGGAACTCAGTGTTTCATTGGCAAACTTTATCAGCCCTCAAGGAAATGTTTTTAGGGCAGAGGGAATTTTACGGAACATAGTCAGTAATGCTCTCTGCAAATCTGATTCCACCATCTAGTTTCCACCCTAATCTTTAAAAGCTTTAATTTAAGACCTCGCTGACTAGAAATCTGAGTTATATAGGTCCACACTCTTGTATCTCTATGATTGTGTACTATGTATAATGTTTTACGCTAATCCAATGCTGAATTTTTTTATTGGATGTACATTCGGAGCGGGAGCTGGAAAAGGTGCTTCACCTGTTCCCCTTCTGCATATCTGATGGAAAATTTTAATGAAGAAAGAAAGAGAGAGAGAGAGAGAGAGAAAGAAAAAGAAAGAAAGAAAGAAAGAAAGAAAGAAAGAAAGAAAGAAAGAAAGAAAGAAAGAAAGAAAGAAAGAAAGAAAGAAATTTTAAGTTGGCAGACTTAACCACAGGTATTAATGCATTTGTGACATGACTTGACTTTTTGGATAATAACTACTAGTGCTGTGATAAATGAGCGATTGACAAAGTCTACAGTATAACATTTTTTTGGCTTGATTATTTATCCAAGCCTGAAAACTTGCAAAGATCTGAATTCACCAAAAGCAGTTACTCAAGCAACTGGATATGATTTTCCAGTTGCTTGAGTAACTGCTTTTTGGCGTATTTTATTTCTTGGATGTCTAACCTTCACCGACGTATAGATCTGAATTATTTAATAAGTAATGTTAGAGTAAAGACACTGGTTAATTCTTTTCATATTCTAGGCAAGTCCAAATCAAAATTTCCTTCCTACGCCCTTAGAAGTTAGATAATGTAAGGTAATATGCATGTAAGCTCCAGGAGACATTGACGAGCCGTTGTAATGAAATTGTGGGCAGGCCTTACGGCTGATTTATTGACAGGGTTCCTTTCCTGAAGCCTGGAGACTTTCCAGTGTATTCCACAGGGAGGACAGGTGCCAACATGATCCATAGGCTGAGGGTTCAGAACAACCTGTTGACTTGTTTGTGGAACATATCATGTGTACATCTATCTACAGCATTAGAGTGAAGACCTAGGGCCTAGGAGAAAATGTTCAACTTGTGTTTTCTGTTTCAGTCCTGAAAAAAATTAGGGTCAGTAGGGAGGGATTATCTTTTTTTTCACTTTGGCTAGTGATCCAACTCCATACAATACAATCAGTTTAATAAAGTAAAACTTGCATGAGGACACTTATATTTTCAACATCAATGTTGGAAAACCGATTGTACACATACAGTTTCATCAGTTGATCGTGGAGCTAGAAAAGGTCCATCCGCTCTAAAAAATATTATGTGCTTGCTGGGATTCACAAGAAAAAAAGACTAGGGTCGGCAGGTTTTTCTAGGGTCGGTCAGGAAACATAAAATTTTTTTCCTAGGCCTAGGGGAGTAAACCCTTACTTACATGTAGTCAGCCATAACACTTTGAGTGGTCAGATATTGTTCAGTTGGTTCACAGGAAAGCCTGTAGGCTGGCCATGGTGACTAGTCATGCATTTTAAGTCTCAGGCAGCTCATGCAGGAAGATGTTTTCAAAGGGAAAGGTACATCATGTTCAAAAACCTTTGTATACATGTAGGTGTAAGTTATGGTTACCCACACCAGTTTACTTTTTTGGTTTGGTCAAAATTAACTTCAGGTGCTGAAAAGCCATCCAATAGCATTACAAACATTTTTTAATGGATAAAAGGCAACTGCCTATGGGATCCACATCTGAAGCCTTAACTATTGATTACGTCTGATTCAGAAGCATCACTAAAGGACCCTGTATAAAAATGCAACTTATTAAAATACCAGACTGATTATATACCTAATAGAACTGATGGATTCTTAGATAATGTTCTCCAATGAAATTCCTGTTTCCAATGTCATTTTGTACTGGGGTAGACTCTATCAGTATAGCCGGTATAACCACCATTCAGCGTAACACACCAGCTTTGCAGGCACTCGGGACGGCGGCAGTTAGCTATACCACACCGAACAACTTCGTTACACTCAACCTTTGCACATTTAATTGCAGGAGTTGTTTAAAGCTTTCTAGTGATGTCGATGCCCCAACTGTGCTTGGTGGCAACGAATTCCAGTCTACAATAGTTCTTGGGAAATACAAGTTTTTGAACACCTCAATTCTTGATTGATAACTCTGATATTTGAAGGCATGACTGTTTCCTGTTCTTTTCTGTGCTGGTATCGGATACTTTAGTGGTTGCGTCCACCAGTTTATCAGTCATGTTATTCATGGTACTGTATGTTTTCATGTTGATACCGATGTCTGTGCCTAATTGTGATACATGACATACATTCTGCCAAGTTGTACTGAATGTAGGTTCTTTTCTGGTCTGCTATGTTGACAGCTTGTATTACAAATGACTGATTGAGATATTTTCCGGCACCCATACATACATATATCAGTGTCCTTGTGCTGTGTAGTTTACCCATTCATTTGCACCCTCCTGTCAAACCGAGATTTTGCCTGAAGGTTTCCCAGCCTGGAAGTAAATCTTGTCAGCAGGGATTCTGGGATGACATTCGAGCTGCTTGTATCATCTGTAACAGAATCCCAGGATGTTTGTTATCGCCAGCTCCTGTTGTGTTTATTATATTATATGATTGTGTGTCTCTGTTGTATGAAGGTGCATTTGTCTTCGAATCAGGGACGGTATATAACACAATGCAAGTCTCTTAGCTATAATTGCACAACAGTGCTTTGCCATATTAAGAACAGACATAAGGCCACACCAATTTAATTTGTTGGTTCTTGGATTCGCCTCAGGGCTCCAAATTAACTTTTTGACCTAGGAGCACTGTGCTCCTAACCATAAAAAGTTAGGAGCACAGGCTAAAATCTAGGCGCACCAACAAAAAATATTGTATTGCAAAGGTGTTAATATATTAAAAACTAAGCTAGATCATATTTCCTTAAAAAAAAATTCTATCAGCATCCTTAATTTTGAAAAAATTGGGCATAGGTTCCCCGGATGACCCCTAACCGGGGGCCAACGGTGCTTCCACAAGTTCAACAAGTGAAAAATACATGATACAAAATGTACATGTATTTACTACCTGGAACTTGGAGCAATTATTCCCAAAGGTGTACCTGACATTGATATATTAAAACCTAAACCAAATCCTATTTCCCAAACAAATCACATATTGACACAGCTGAACAAATAAAAATGTGATCATGTCTATAAACTCCACTCAAAAAATCTCATCTGATTCTCCCAATGTATTAGGGACTTCACAATCACAGCATCCAACCGCACTAACACAAGAAACCAATAAATTCGGAAAATTTCTCAGTAATGTTTGAAAATTAACCTTATAAAAATATAAGTGAATTTTTATTTCTGTTGTAGCCGAAAAAAAAATTTTCATGCGTTTAAAGTTTCGTTTTAGCACCTTGTAATATGTACTTAGTACATGTATCTTGTACATTTGGATGCTATCTTGACCTTTGACCACTGTTATTGTGAAACACCGTCGGCCATTTTGTCAGTCTCGCCGTAGATTTTCGAGCCGTTTTTTCGAGCAAATTTCAACGGTTTTAAACATTTTACGGCCTCAAAAACTCATATAACGAGGAAAGCAAGTTGTAGTTGTTATTTTCATGCGTAACATTTCTTCTGGGGATGGATTATTTTTCCGCCGAGCTGCCGAAAACTAGCGTCATGCCGCGACCATGCGGTCGGGTACGGGCGGCCGGCGGGAGTATCGGTGAGCTTTCACGATGTAAACAAAGACATTCGGAGTTGTTCACATGAAAATTGTGCTGTGAAACGCCAGTGGGGTGTCAGATTTTCTACCAATGACAACGTTTTCTTTGCGGCGTCATGGCGAGATCGACAATTCATCGTCAATTCACAAGATTGTGCCGACAATGGAATGAATAGGCTAAAATTTTTATTGGCGCACCGTGCGACCGTGATTTCAAATGTAGTCGCACCGTCAAAATTTTGGGCGCATATGCGACCAAATCAGTCGCAGTCACGAGCCCTGCCGCCTCTTAATTTTTTTCTGATTTAAAAAAAAACACCTCTGAATCAACTCAAAAATGGTGAATTTTACCCCTAGCATCTATCAATGCAGTAGTTTGATTAAAACAAAAGTTCAAAATTCATTGTTTAAATATTAACCCAGCCTTTTGTGTTGACTTCATGGCTCATTTTCATTGCATTTGGGGCTATAATAAGATGCCTAGACCTGTTTTTTTTTGCCTTGGGCCTAACAAAATAAATGTTGTGTTTCCTATTACAGTCCAGAAAAAATTAGGGTCGGTAGGTAGGGATTCACTTTTTTTTTTTTTTTTTTTTTTTTA